AAAAAAAAATCAGGATTAACATCTTTTTAAAATGTGTTTTTTAAAAGACACTTCTACTTTCAGCCAAATGCAAAATGTAGTGTTTTCCTTTATATGTAAGTTAAATAAAAATACTCAAGTTTGAAGTTGCTAAAAAGTAGTCCATGATTATATGTGTCAGTGTCTCTGTGTAAGTGTGAATGTGAAGTGTGTGTGTGCATGTGTTATGTGTGTGTGTACGATTTGTTGAGATAAATAATGTAAAGAGATGACTTACCAGCTCTTTGCCACTCAGGATTATCTCCATTGTCAGGGACTTCACTCTTGCCCAAAGGAATGTTAGGATTATTGAAAAGCTCCAAGCTTTTGGATTCCTCCAAGGTGCAGTTTTTAAGCTCCTGAACAATATCCAAGATGATGCTTAAAAGTGTCTCACTCACTGTGAGTTCTTCATATTCGGTACTCCCTCGGCATGGTCCCACGGACACCAGCAAAAGCACCAGTCCCAGCAGGACAGAACACCTTGGTCCACTCATTTCAGTTTGCATAAGAAGGTTCACGATGGCGTGTTAAATTAGGAATGAAACTGAAGGAAAATCGAACACCCTCTCCAGAATCTTTGTTTACTGGAAGAAGAAAGGAGAAGGAGGGAGAGGAGGAGACAAAGAAAGTCAGAGAATTGGTGGGGAAGGCGGGGAGAACACTCCTTAAATAGAGCAGAGGTGGGCTTTTGTTTTTTTATGTGCCGTGAAGTCAATTCTGACTCATAGCTACCCTGTACGGGGTTTCCGAGGCTGTAAATCTTTACGGGAGTAGAAAACCTCAACTTTCTCTCGAGGAAAGATGGTGGTTTTGAACTGCTGACCTTGAAGATTGCAGCCCTATTCATAACCACTATGCTACTAGAGCTTCTGATGGAAGTAGACTGCCACATCTTCTGTTATGGGTGACTGATGGTCTTACACAGTCAGTGATGGGTTTGAATAGCTGAACTTTGGATTAGCAACCAAGTACTTAGCCATTGTGCCACCAGGGCTAGTTATTAACATATTCTGTGCCAATGATGACATCATCAGAATTATATCATCAGAAAATACATAATGGCTACCTAAGTATTCTCTGTTGTTAAGTGCCGCTTAATAGGTTCCTACTCATAACAACCCTGTATAGGATTTCTGACAAGCAGCTGGATGGTTTGAACTGAGGACTTTGTGGTTCGATGTCCAGTGCTGATCCTGATGATGGAAGAAAAGTTGTGAGATGACATCAAGAACATCTTACATGAGGAAAACAAAACATCATTAAAAAGACAAAATGAAGTTAGAAGTCTCTAAAACTTGCTCTTGAACATACAGATACAAAACCAACTAAAAGAAAGGAAGTAAAACAGCTGAGCACAAGGTTTCTAAGAGCTGCTCAAAAAGACAAAGAAAAGTATTATAATGAAATGTGCAAAGACCCAGAGTCAAGATCAAAATGGAAGAACATGCTCAATATTTCTAGAACTGAAAGGACTCAAGAGAAAACATCATTCCTCAAGTTGCAGTATTGAAGGATTCTATGGACAAAATATTGGTAGAGAGACACTATACCAAATATAATCCATTGATGTTTAAGCCTTTCAAGAGGTACATTGATCAAGACAAATGGTGGTGTAAGCTGCTCTGAAGGCATTTATAACTAACAAGGCTCCAGGAATTGAAAAAGTACCAATTGAAATGTTTCAACAGACTGATGCAGTACTGGAGGTACACACTAGTCTATGCTAAGAAATATGGAAGGGAGCTAACAGGCCAACTGATTGGAAGAGACCCATATTTGAAACCATTCTAAGAAAATGCAGAAATCACAATATCATTCATATCACATGCAAGTAATATTTTTTCTGAAGAGAATTTAAACATGGCTATAGCAGCACATTGACAGGTTGTTGTTTTGTTAAGTGCCGTGAAGTCAATTCTGACTCATTGACTCTATATAGGGTCTTCAAGGAGTGGCTGGTGGGTTTGAACCACAGGTCTTGTGGATAGCAGTCAAGTGCTTATTCTATAACACCACACCAGGACACCAGGCTGCTGCCAGAAATTCAACCTAGATTCAGAAGAGGGCATGAAACTAGGTATATCATTGCTGACCTCAGATGGATCTTGGCTGAAAGCAGAGAATACCAGAAAGGTGTTTACTTGTGCTTTATTGATGACACAAAGGCATTCAACTGGATCATTAAAAGCTATGGATAATATTGTGAAGAATGGAAATTCCAGAACACTTAATTTTGCTCATAAGGCACTTGTGCATTGAACACGAGGCAGTCATTTGAATAAAACAAGCATTCCTTAATGGGTTATATTCAGAAATGTGTGTTAGAAAATTGCAATGCAAATGTACGAGACAAAGAAGAATGATAAGTAGTTTGGAAATATGGCTTTAGTGGTAGAAGTCATGCTAAAGATAGCATGATAGAATTTTGCAAGACCAATGAATTCTTTGTGGCAAATACCTTTTTTTTTTCCTTCACATTTGATATTTTTAATAAAGGTGTCTACAATTTTGTAGCAACACTTCTTAACTTACTGTCATATAATAGGTTTTTTGTTTTGTTTTTCATAGTCTACATGGGAGAACATCAGCTTTACATTTATTCCATCATCCATCATTTCATTGGCATAGTTACCTTCCCGTCCATGCATCCTCACCCAACCAAGGGGTGTACCCTGTAAGGCTGAGTGCCCCCACCACCACAGTCCTCAGCCCCTTTCCATCTCCTGATCCTGAGTCCGAAGCCACACCATCTCTTGACGTCATCTTCTCTGCCTCCATCTCAGGCCTCACTGCCTCTCTGGGTAGGATTCCTCTCTTCGCTGTTCTCCATCAATGGTCCCAGGGTCCTCCACTCCTAGACTGATAATTTAATCACTCCCCTCTTTGCTACAAAATGTAGCAAAGTGTAAATCTTTACGGGAGCAGAACGCCTCATATTTCTCCTGCAGAACAGCTGGTAATTTCGAACTGCTGACCTTGCAGTTTGCAGCCTGATTCATAACCATTATGCTACCAGAGCCCCTTTATGGAAGTAGATTGCCACATCGTTCTGCTGTGCAGTGACTGATGGTCTTACACAGGGAGTGATGGGTTTGAATGGCTTACTTTTGGGTTATTAACCAAGTACTTATGCACTGTGCCACCAGGGCTATTTATTAACACATTCAGTGACATCTTAAGAACACATTCGATGTATTAGAGAGTGATGACTGAAGAGCAGAGAGTTGTGATATGACATCAAGAACATCATACAAATCATTAAGACAGCAAGAAAGAAGGAAGAGATCAAAATAGATGTCTACAGAGACTCAGAACCTTACTTTTCAGTGTAGACATGCTAAAGTAAATGGAGGATAGAAGGATGTAAAGAACTAAATAGAAAATTTCAAAGGGCAGCTTGTGAAAACAAAGTCAATGTGTAAAGATCTTGTTGTTGTTGTTATGTGCCATCGAGTCGGTTCCGACCCATAGCGACCCTGTATAGGGTTTCCGAGGGTGTAAATCTTTACGGGAGT